CGCCCTAACCGTATGTAGGTGCCAAAATCATAAAATTCACCAGAATTATTTGCCATCTATGGAAAGTCAGATTTTAAGGATGGGATAGGCATTAGATTGAATTACTCTCTCCAAGTTAAGTTTGTGAAGCCCTTGCAGGGCAATGTGAGAATGCATACATCACCACTGCCTGTGGAGAGCTGTCCATTTACAGCTTATCAGCAACACTGCTTTTACTTTAAAGCTGAAAGAACAAACCAAGCAAAAGGCAAAACTATTTAAATATGCTCCCCATAGATTACGGCAGTTACTGAAGGGGGCTAACTTTCATTGGGATACCAGTAAGTAGCCAAAATACCATTTTATGGAGGCTGCAGCATGGATTTTCTTTTTTGGCAATAACCTTTGGGGTTTTTGCTTTTTTTAATTGTTTCTGGAAATCCCTTCTGATGAGTCTAAACCTGCTTGTCTTCCTTCCTTCAAAACTATTTGAACAGCTGTCTGGCTAGAGAGTAATGGATGCCCTTTAAAAGGGTTCTAGTACAGGTTAACTTTTATCATTGCATCACAGCATTTTATTTTAGTAGTTCTTTACTGACTTTTGACAATGCTGTTGTCCCATATACTTACTGCTACCTGTGTCCATTTTGGGTCATATTTTTATGCAAACATATGTTGTAACTGAAAGGAAGCAAAATACATTTATGAGAATAATGCTAGCATGGTATTATTACTTTTCATTGAATGCTATACTTCTCACCTGCAAGGAATAGGGACTTGCAAATTTTGCATGGGTATATAAACAAGCCTATGACCTCTTGTGAGGTATAAATAAGGACATACAAACCAGAACAAATACAATAAGGAACCTCTTTGCTGTGTATTAGAAGGGTTTTTTCCCCTACTAGGATAACATAAAATGTGAATATTTAAACTAAAACCCATATATACCTTTTGTCTGTATATATAATTTTTACTCCTTGTTTTCTTTCCATAAGCAGTAAATTAATATATTTGTACTATATATGAATGAACTGTCTCCCTCTCACAATCCCCTTCTGCTCAGTTCTACATTATTGTTATATCCTAGTCCGTTGCCATAGAAATGATTGATGTGCCCAAGCACAGCATTTGCACCATATTCTTGTCTCTGACCATGCATTTTGTACTCTTAACCAGTGTCACATTCTACATTTCTGCTATTTTCTGCTTCTGGGCTGGAAAGAAAATGGAAAGGGAATTTATGTCCCTTAAAAGGTTGAAACTAATTCAAAGTAATGCATATCAGCACTGCAAGCTCCTGATTCACTGCAAGTCTTGTCATTTGGTGCTTTTTTTTATTATCCCATGACTCTGGCAATGAGAACTTTGTGAAAATCTCCATCCTGTTATTGAAAAAAAAAAAAGGTTCTAGGCTTTATGCCCTTTTAGGAAAGCTTGAAAACCCAGAAACCAAATACAAAGATAATTGCAATTCCTTTTATGGTATTACTTGGTGAAGGTACTGAATCATGATTTTACATTCTTGGGACTGACAATACTGATATTTCCCTTGTAAGAAAGCTGACAAGAAAAGTAAGTAGTCCCAGAAGCTGTTTAAACCAGTCTCTGATGTGATCTGTTGGGCATCAACCATACCACCCTGACCAATTTCATGTACGTAGCTCAAAAATCTATTAATATAGGATGACTGTTTTCCAGACTCAGATACTTATCTTGCAGTATTGTATCCCTATGGGAAATATATAACTGCTGGATTTTCTTGACTTGTATGGGGTTGGGGGGAAATGGTGCTGGAGAGAGCTGCCTCTTCACCTGAACCTAGAGGACAAGTCATTTTCTTATTTTTCCCTGTCCACATTGCTGGTCCTAGAAGTTATTTCAGACTTCTGACAGTGGCTCACAGAAGAGACCCAGAATAGACTGGAGTTAATGACTCCAGGAGAGGAAAGCTGCATAGGTGAATATTGTGTCAACTTTGCATGTGCCACAAGAGATAAAGCATTTAGCTGAGCCCCAGTGCCTGGTCCTTAGTCTCTGACCTGTAGATTCTTCAAGAACCTACTGGTTTAATTAGTACTTAACAAAGGAGCTTTCAACACAGTGAAGCATCTTGGATAGAAATGGACTGCATAATAAGGACCCCAAAGCTGCCATGAACTCTGTGGATTTTGAGAAGGGCAAGATGTAAATCAAATAGCGGTAAAATGAGAATTTTTTTCTTCTTTGTGTTGCCAATGATGCCATATTATAACAGTGCCACTAGGTGGCCCTCTGCTGAATCCACTGCAGAAGGCAAGCTGAGATGGGTACTCTAGGGGCACTTGCAGATGTGCAGTGAGGCTGCTATGACATGTTGTAATTACAGAGAGTCAGAGCAGACTCTATTAATTAAGTCTGCTGGAGCATGGTAATTACTGCACTCCAGCAGACTCCAGTGTCACATGTATCAGCAACCCTGTGCTGATAAATGGTGGTGGGGCGCTTTAACTAAAGCTTGTTCAATGAGCTTTAAAGTGCCCTGCCACATTTTTCAGTGTGGGGGACACTGATACATGTGACGCTCTGGGAGCTTTAATTAAAGAGGCTCCAAGAGCCACTCTAATTGAAGCACCTTCCACACCCACTCCAGGATCATAAATGCCCTAGGTCCCCAGAAAATAATCTAAAATGATAGTAAACATATTATTAGTTTGCACTTAAAAGGGAACCCCAAGAAACTGCAAGCTGCCTCTTGCAATGCCAAGACAATTCTTCCCCCTCCCCTCACAACAAAGACGAGTGTTGGTGTTCCCATTGTTAGTAGGACCTTATGAGCAATTCTGTTTTGTATGTGACTTGAGTTTATATATGATAGTGGGACTAGGTCATACACTTACTATCTACTAATACTAGATAGCTACTACTTCTGAATTTTGTAGGGCAAGCTCATTCCTCCCATATCAGCATCTTCCTGCTTCCTGCATTCTCCCATTTTCCCTCTCCTTACAAAGCTCCCTATATATCACACATCCCCTTCCCCACTATTTTAGGGACACCTACAAATCAGCGAGAATACAATAAGGAACCTCTTTGCTATGTGTTAAAATATTTTTTCCTACTAGGATAATATAAAATGTGAACATTTAAAAACACTTAAACACTTTCTCTATGTCAGAGTCTCTTTGAGGGTCCCTTGTACATCCCTTTTGATTTCCTAGTCCACAAATTTTTGTGCTCCAGTGCTGCTGCTTTGCACCCTGAGGTCCTTCATTCTCTTCTTTGTATCACTGGCTTACTTTATGCACTCTTCTTTCGTTATCTTTCATTATCTTCTTCCCCTCCTTACAAGGGGATCTAGGCACTCCCCCCTTGCATCAGGGTTCCTCAAACTCTGCCCCCACGGGCTCCATGTGCCCCCCAGTTTACCATTTTCCAGGGGCTTTCATTCTCTAGTTCCTGCCACGGGGTCTGGATACCGTCCATTTTTTCCTTCTGTATTAGAGCTCCTTAGCTATCTACTCTCCATGCCCAAGTCAGGGTTGTTGTGTATCCTCTTTCCCGTAACAGCATTCCCCTAGTTCTTCCCAACAGAAATACAATGATACTCATATTTCTATTTCCAGGCCTCCCATTTTATTTATATGGCAGAAACTTTTTGTCCTCCTATCCCCCAAACCATATCTCCCTGGGGCTTCTGCATGCCCCTGCTACTGCTTTCCTCTATAGCAGCATTACCGCTTTCTTTCACTTGCCTCAAGGACTACTTCCCCCCACACAAGTCCTTCATTTTTCTCTTATTGGGAGTTCTGAGTGCCTCTTATTTCTTCCTCTCCCTCTAGTTGGATCATATATTTGTTGTCTCCCTTCCCCCACTCCCAATGACAAAGACTGTACATATGCCCTCAAACCTCCTTATTTGTCTTCCATTATTGTTTGTCTGGGATATAGGTCTGTTGGGATATTCACACACAATGCTGTTGGGAGGATAGGCAGAGATGAAACAAGGGTATGGTTAAGTATGAAAGTGTCATCACCAGTTCTTTGATCAATAAACAATATGTGTCATCCCCTGCCCCCTTTTTTTTCTCTTGCCTTCCATTTTCCAATTTCTCCTCACAAAGGCCTACAACATTTCCTGACTTTCTGGATTTAGATTTGATTGCATTCAGTGTTCAGAAGTGACATGATACATAGACAAACAGACACACAAATGACCACAAGTGGAACCTTTTGAACTCCAAAGCGTTTGACTCAGTGCCCCAGGTGACAACAAATAGACAGCAACTAAATGTACAGCATCCAGTAACCACCTGCACAGTTGTCCAGTGGAGGAAGGAAGGGAAGAGCTCTGTTTGCTTTGTATTATACTAGATAACAGAGCCTCCACTGACCTTCAACAAACTACCCACTTGTAAAGGGTCAAGAAGATAGCCCCTTTTAGAGGCTTGCTTTTATTAAGAAACAGGTCATTAAACATGCATAAATCCCATCCAGAACCTCCTCCCTAGACATTGTTGTACCTAGGGCTCTCTTTCCACAGGAACTGCCTTCTTCTCCCCAAGGAAACTCCTGAGAAAAGGAGGGGGTTACTCCTGGCTTCCTTAATTTAAGGGTGGAGTCTAATGAGCCCCTCCAGCTCTGAGTAGTTAGTATATACCTGCAGATCCCTGCAGCACTCCAACACCTGTTAACAAGGACAATTCTGGCAGCCTCATGTAGTGTGTTGGTAACCAGTGAACAGCAGCACCTAAAAAAGTAAGGGTTAACACCAGTGCCCCTCCCCAGCAGTATGGCAGTGAAAAAGAAAATATTTGTCAAGATTTTTTTTTAACTTCAGATCTTAGAACAGTGGTCTCTTTCAGCCTGAATGGGAAATGCAGGACACCTAGTTAGTATACTGCTCTGTTGCTAGCCATCATCATTCTCTCTGGGAGCAGGAAAGGCACTTCAATTGAGTTCTGATTCTCTGCTAATGGGTACCTATTTCTCTTGGATGGAGACTGCCATCTGTGGCATAGGTTGTAGAGAATGTATGTAGTAATTGTGTGATGTGCTTATCTGATGCAATTGTCCTCTAGGGGCTGATTTAGGACCACTGTAGTAACTACAGTTTGAACTAATTGGATTTTTTTAAGCCTGGGCTCCCAGATGTGACAGGGCAATGGTGCTTTATTCACTAAGCCATCTTCATCTGTGTTCCCTGTTTATATAATAGTAAGGCTTTCTTTTTTTTCCCTTCAGGTAGAAGCCCCTAGGCTCTCTGTCTCTTGTTCTTTTAAATCAGAACTAGAGAGAGTTGTTTTGCAGGATTTTAAACAAGAACAGTAAAAGCAGGGTGACAGCCTATGTTAACATATGACGTGATAATGCATAACCTTATGAATGGAGCTGCCTGCCACCTTGTTGAATGTTGGTGGTTTTTTTCAACTCACACTTTTTTGTTATCACCAGTAATGGCTGACTGACTCATTTCAATGAATTGGGCAAAGCAGAAAAAACCAACAATCTTTATTCCGTGATTCACTTTCAGGTGGAGAAAGCTTTCATGAATGACCCATGGTAACTAAAGTAACATTAGGAACAAAGACATATACAGCAGGATTAATTTTATGTCTGTATGTGAAATCTTTTTAATTTCACTTCTTTGCGATTACAATCTTACATTTAAAATCAATAATAAATATTACTTTGCAGCATGTTTCTTCCAAAGCTGTCAAAGCACTTCTAACATTAATTCATTCCCATGACACCTTTCTGAAGCAGGTGAGTGCTACTGAAATGGAGGGAAATTAAATGACTTCCCAAGTGTAACATAACAGCAGAGATGGGAATAGAATGTTAGAGACTTGATTTCCATGCATGCCCTGGCCATAATACTCTATTCTCCCCTTTCCCCATAAAAATGTTCATGTATATAGGATCATTTTGCCATTTTTCACCAAAATATCAAAGGATTAACATTAACATCACACTTGCCTAGACTGACTTGTGTTTTAGATAAAAACCATAGTAAATTCTGCATAGATGACTCATCTGGTAGGGTATAGGGTTCAGAAGACTGGGCCTCTATTCATGTTCCTGCCATGGTTTTTTTGGTGCTTTAAGCAAATCACTTAGCTCTAGAGTTTCAAGAGAAGCCACTTATTCTGTATGTGCAAAGTGAGATGCTTTAGACTTGACTTTTTAGCACTGGTAAAAACACTAAAACTGTCTGATTGGAGTCCATTGGCCTGCAGGTATTAAGCACTGTTAACATCAGGCTGCAGTGGTCTCTACCCAAACACCAAAAAGCAGTGCCTACTATTTAAAATATTGCCCCTGCCTCTCTGCCTTTCAGTTTCTAATACCCCTAAAATTAGAAAGGTGATAAGTATTTTTCTAAAATACTTTGAAATTCTTACATGATAAACACTATATAAGAGCAAAGCAATATTATAATTATATGCAGACGTTATATATCATCCTGTAAAATGACTAACTTGAACATGTTAGAACTGCAGCGTGATGCAGGAAAAGGTTTGTTGTTTAAATAACACATTGGTTACCTTGCTAGGTTAACATTTCATCATCAAGAAATTATGCTGGAGAAAGGGCGTTTCCTTCCTAGGTTCTAGCAGTGGTGAAAGAAAGGAAAGTGACTAATTATTACAAAGCGTTTGGAACTCTTGACTCAAAGGTAAAAGCCTGATTATAAGGCCTCTATGACATAGACGTAATTAAAGGGCTGAGTTTTCTGACGGCGGATCCATCATCTATAGCTAACTTCTATGTTAGAATCATTTTTTTCTCTGATCTCACTGACCAGAGTGAACACCTTAAGGGTCTGGAGCAGGGATTTGTTGGCTTACAATTCAATCACAAAACCGTAGCCACTCAAATCAACAGAGCCAAACTTGGATCCTGCTCCAGCCTGCTACAATACCAACCCTGGGACAAGGACAACAGAATCCCTCTGGTTGTCACCTATGAGCTTGAATACCTTGGACACATCACGAATGACCTCAAACCGCTCCTGAAAAATGAGGACCATCTCAAGGTAGCCACCTGTTCTTGGCTTACAGACAGATCCACCAATCTCAAATGGCATAACTAAAGCAACAGGCTACTTACCCCCATTCTCACCAAGGCACATGGTGAGACCCAGGTGCAAGCTGTGCCCCCTCATTAACACAGACCACATCATCACTGGAACAAATAACATGGATTATAACTAGGGATCTCCATAAATCATGGAGGAAGTGCCCCCTTTAATTTTCTTCATTTCACCTTGCCCCTGCCTGGCCCTGATTAGCAGAGGGACCCCACCTGCTGGGCCAATTGCCACTGGTCATCAGGGAAGCGATGATTTTAAATATACCTTGATTTTTTAAATAATTGTTTTTGCCTCCCTGCTGGTCAGCAGCAAGTGGCAGGACCACCAGGGCCCCTCCTCCAACCAGCGGCAGGGAGGCAAAAACCATGGCATATTTAAAACTCTGGTTTTTGCTTCCCCAGCAATCAGTGGCAAATGGCTCAGCCACTGAGGACTCTCTGCCAATCAGAGGTGGGGGGGCAAGTGGCAAAATGAAAAAAAGGAGCCACTGGGGAGGGAATTTCCTTTGGGGTTTACAGAGATCCCTAATTATAACATCTAAGGTTTGTTCACCTGCATATCTATTTATGTTGTATGGCCTTACATTGCCCCTCTAGTCCACGTTGGACAGGTGGGGCGATCTCTGTCTGGGAAAAAATGAGGGATACCAATCTGACTTCAAGTCAAAACACACAAAAGGCTGTGGAAGAACACTTTTAAGCTTCCTGGACATTCTGGGCATTGATACATGTGTTCTGGGAGGCGAGGGGGGTTTTAATTAGAGCTGCTCTGAGAGCACCCGGAATGTCACATGTATCAGTGCCCACGCACTGAAAAATGGCAGCACGGGCACTTTAACTAAAGTTCATCAAATGAGCTTTAGTTAAAGCCGCCCCCAACATCATTTTTCAGCTCAGGGATGGAGATACATGTTGTAGCTGCCAGTGGGACAGGCTGGATACCTGGAGCCTCTTGCCTTGAGGTGGACTCCCTACTATTCACCTGCCATGTCTTGATCATCAGTAGTTTGTAATAGCAAGGGAAGTTCCTCCGAATAGGGTGACTTTACATCTTCAGGTGGGCTTGGTGCCAAAGCAGGTGACTTGTGGCTCTGCCTCCCTTATATGGTGCCCACTCACCAACCAAGTCTAACTGCAGGCACACTGATGTAATGGGCTGTTGCACCACAAAGTTGCCAAAAGACAACACTTGTGGCCAAGGCTCCTCACCATCCATGCCACCAGGGGTTTACTCCGGGCACGCTGTCCAGACTGTTCCCTTAGCCAGCATGAAATTACTCAAGCAAGGGGGAACCTCTCATGCTGGTTCGCCACCCCTGAATTAACCCAAGAATCCACTGGCCCTTGTAGCCAGGCCTAGATGACCTGTACTGGGATTCTCCAGCATCAGATCTCCCTATCAAAATCAGCTGTGTCTAGCAGCAAGGCTGCAATGGGCCACGCTAGGGTTCTTCCACACTGGCTCTCCCTTATTATTAGATCAAAACATAGAATACGATAAACCCTGGAGTGCTTCAACTGAGGCGGTGCATGGTGCAAAGGACTCATGATTCCAGCATCTGAGCTTCCTTTGGTGGTGGAGCCCACCAGTCTTTCAGACCCTCTGTCATCTTTGTCTTTTGGGACAAGAACCCCTTTGGGTTCTCTCTGGACTGGCTTGGTGGCAGCTCACCGGAGTCCAAGATGTATTCTGCCAGCCCTATGGAGGAGCTCTCTGCTGCCACTCCTTCCCAGCCAGCTGCTGCTGTGCACCAGTGATCTGGATGCCTTCTTATGGTGTCACACTCAGCGCGACCCCTCATGTGCAGTGAGAGTATGCTCTTAAAGCAGAGTGGTACAGACGTGTGTGCCTCCGCTTCTGAGGCTTGGCTGCCTGCAGGTGAGTCAAGCCATCTCTCAGCCCTTTCCAGGCCACAATCCCCTGTCAACCAGGGGCTGTTGGTGGGGTAACCACACCAACCCTGACCCCTGGGAGTTTCGTTGCACCATGTGGCAACACACATGATGCTGGAGTCTCCTTGAGTGCAGAAATTACTACACTCCAGCAGACTCAATTAATCGAGTAATCGCTGTAATTACAGCGTGTTGGACCAGCCTTGCAGAGCACGTATACATGCCCTCTATCACTAACTTCAGAATAGCTGTTCTTCAATAATGGAAGTTTAAAAGCAGACTTGAATGTGAACTTGCAGAACAAGAAATCATTCACAGACTGGATTGTGTTAAGTATTCTATATATATACACCAAGGACTTAGTCCATCTGTCTGTATGTCTGTAACACTCTTGGAGCACTCTGATTGGTTGTCTCGGCTGCCAATCACTGTGCTTACTGAAACAACCAATCAGAGTGCTCTGCACAGAGTGATCCGTGGAGTGCCACCATGACAGTGGGGACGGAGGGGACAGAGTGTGGGAGCGGGGCCTCGACCCTGCCCCCTGGCCCTGCTCCTTGGAGGTGGTGGCAGCACGGGGTGCTGGTGGAGGGGGATGGAGGGAACAGTGGGGACAGAGTGGGATGGTGGAGCGCTGCCATGATAGCGAGGGTGGAATGGGGTGGGGGGGTGAGGCATGGGGTGCTGGCCTCACCCCCTGCTCCATCCCCTTCTTCCCTACCGTCATGGGGGTGCTCTACCATCCCACTCCGTCCCTGCCATTCCCTCCGGTCCTGGAGGCAGAGGCGGTGCAGGGTGCTGGTGGAGGAGGATGGAAGGGATGGCAGGGCAAGCTTCCCTCCTTCCCCTGCTTCTGGGAGGCAGCACAGGGTGGTGGGTGGCGGTGCCCTGTCTCTGCCCCTGGTCGTTCTTGACGGGCAGTTTGCTAGTGGTCTAAATAAGGACTGTGGATTCTTATTCTATTACCTGGATTACCTTTTTATGTCAGCAGAGATTGTCTGCCAAATCTTGGTTCAAGTCACAAGTGAAAGTGAGTTGGCTGGCCTGATCTTTGCCCTTTGTAGACCTACATTGCCATCTCCAAACCTCCATGTAAAACAGTGTCTTTTCCTGGAGAAAAGCACTGGAGAAACCGAATGGTTGAAAGCCAAGATTTCAGTGCACACAGTTTAGTGGGGAGATTTTTTTAGTACTTTGCACAGCACTACAGACATAGGTCCCAATTCAGGAAAATATTCTTGTCTAGGGAACCACTTATGCATGTGTTTCTGTTATTGAATTGGGACCTTACAATGAAGGCCCCTTTGAGATAGAGTAGCTTTTCCAGTTTGAAATCAAACACTGTCCTCCTTCTGTTTGCCCTTCAGAAATTTTGTTTGATCATGGCTGCATTGCAACTGTGACTCAGCTTTTTTTGTTAGTAAAATAACCATAGTCCAGCTAATTTGGACATCCACATCTGTCATCATATTTAAACAACATGGGTAATGCTAGGTGCCTAGTTTCTCTTATCTGTACATGATGTGAACGTGTAGAGACACACAACATAAGAGCATATGGAAGACAGAAGTCTGTGGAGTTCTAGCTCAAACCAGAGGAAGCCATGAATTCACACTGCAGTACTATCTTTTGGTGGTGAACACTTATGATGTATTGCTCCCAAATATCAGGTGAAGTCAATCAACAGATCTTCTCATTAATCTCAAAGGAACAATGTTGATTTACACCACATGAGAATTTGGCTCATTGACTTACAGTGATAAGCATAGGCACTGACTTTTATTTTTGCCCCGGAGTGGGGGGTGGGGAGGAGAGGGGGCTAAGATGATGCCCCCCCACCCTGGCAGCACAGCTGGAGCAGAGTTGAGTGGAGCCCACAGGGGAGTGGGGGTGGATGTAGGCTGCCCGCTGTGGGCTCATGGCTCCCCGCCCTGCTGCCCTCCTCTAGGGAGCACCATGTCAGCTATGCTGCCATGGCAAGGCACCCCCTGCCTGCCCAGAAGCAACAGGGGACACAACTCCACACTGCCATCCTCACTGCTGCGAGGTGGACAGAGGACACTTTGCCATGATGATGCAGCTACCGTGGGGCTCCTTCAGGGAGGGCAGCAGGGTGGGAGCCTTGAGTCTGCAGCAGGCAGCCCACATCTGCCTCTGTTCTCCACAGAAATCTGGAGGGCAAGTGCCCCCCCATGCTCTGCTCCCCAGGAGTGCATGCAGTGGTAGGGAGACACCCCTTCCCAGATGAGCTGCTTGTGGCTCTGTCTCACTCCCTGCCCTGGCTCTGGGCCCCATGCACTGCCCTGGCTGGGCAGCACCTCCAGCCCCAGCCCCTGCCATATACTTACCTATAGGTATCCGGGGGAGCTATTCTCCACTGCTGCCTGGGGCTGTATTCCTGGCCAAGTGCATGTGTGCATGTGCACACATGCACATGACACTGCCTACGTTCTGCTTCTTGCAGCCCCTTGCAGGCTGGAACTCCTCCAGCCTGCAAAGGGAAGCCTGCCATTTCCTGCATTTTTCCGTGGTGAACAGAAAACCCGGATCTCTGCATGATACTGGGAATCCTGGACAAATGCTGCCCCAGAGTCATGCACCCTGGGACTGGGACTTGATGTTCCCATTTCAGGACTGTTCTGATGGGTGGTCATCCTACTCTTTTCCCAAGGGGTCCAGGGCCCTTGGGCTCTCATGTACTTGCCACCTAAGGTGGTAAGGATTTCCCAGTTGAGCTCACATCTCTATTTCCTGGTCAATAAATTAACAATACCAAAGAGTTTAAAACAGCTCTTGAAATTTCAACTGGGTGTGACTTGTACTACAGGAGTAATCTATGGAGCCAATATCTTTTTTTTTCAGATGTTATCTATTATGAGCAGGATACCTAAAACAGCTATTTTAAAAACTCCGTATTTCGGAAGGTATAAGACTTGTCCCAAAGTTAGGAACTATGTTAAAGTTATGTCTTACCAAATTGAGATGGCAAACTGTCCCTGTTATCTGGCTTTTTAGAAGACAAATTGCAGATGATAGGTATACCATACAGAAAGACCATATAGTAAGTAGAAAAGCTGTGCATAGAGAAGCTGAGGGAAGAGAAGATATCACTCTAAAGATCACTGACAGTTAAAAACCTCGGCCTTACATCCCCAAACATGTCCTTGAACCTTCCACCTTCTGCTGTATTTTCCTGATAAAATAAATTTAAACATATGAATACCTGGATTATGACATTGTGTAATACATCTCTCCAAGGTTGATTGACACTCTTCATTCTAGACATATATTATGATCACTGGGTGCATTGTTTTATGTTATACACATTATACTGATGGCTACAAGAATTCACACTGACACTTAGTGGACCGGAAGGCCAGACATATTTAAAGAGAATTTTAAGCAGCAAGGTTGAGTATTTTTTAAAACCCTCATTTGGTATTGCTTTCAGCCTAGGTTTCTTTCAGTGACAATAAAGATATGTTTGAAAGGATCTCTGATAGAAGAATTTTTAAAACACTGTGGTGATGACTCAACTCTATTTTTAAGGTTGCTTCTAAAATACAACACTCTTTTCAAAGAAAAAAAGTTTATTGGAAACCCAAGAATGAAAGCATTATCACACAAGATTTCTAAAATCAGATACAAATTAAAGCTTGCTCCTAACTCACTTTTTAAATTCACTTAAAAAACCTTTGTCTCTAAAATGTACTGTATTGCTTTAATTTCAGTTCTATAAATTACTTCACTGAGGTCCCAGTCCTACAAAAACATATGAATTCAACAGCATGACTCACAATGCAAAAAATCACATTCATGTATAAATCTGTAAGATTGAGGCCTTAAGTGAAATTCTACCATGAGGTGTACTGGAGAAATGATGTTAATGAGTTTCATGGTTAGGCCTTTATATTTCAACTACTGAAGTACACTGATAATGCAAAATTCGCATTATCAGTGACTCATTTGGGCCATCATTGTCTCTTAATGAGTTCTTTCTCATACCAATTTCATTTACATGTATTTTTTTTTTATACTTTACCAACTCTGCTTGCATTTGGAGACCCATACCTGCTGTTTTGGCTCTCTATCCATGATATATTTACAACTCTGTTCTTGTCAGCAGTTTACAACCCACCTGTGAAAAAAATTTCAGCTGGTGATGGCTGCATTGCAACTATGGGGCAGTTGTTTTATTTTGTCAGTGAAATAACCAGGTTCCAGCTAATTTGGACATCCACACCTGCCATGGTACTTAAACACCCTGGGTAATGCCAGGTGCCTAGCTCCTTATGTTTGAACATGGTGTGAACTAGCACACAACATAAGAACATATGGAAGACAAGTCTGTGGAGTCCTAGCTCAGAACAGGAGGGAAGGAGGACTGGCCAAAGCAATTAATAGGCATTGGTTGGGGTCTTGGGTACACTGCAAAATAAGTACCACAACATGGTTATAAGAACACAAGAATATGCCAGCTGAAGTACCTACAGTGGTATTGCCTGGGTAATTGCCACATTTAATTTTCTGTTTACCACACTGTGCATAGATACATTTAGAACCAACCACATTCTTAGCTGGTTAAAAGTTACAGCGCAGACAAGAGTCTGAAATAAAACTCGAGATGCTCCTGGCTCATGCCACATGTCCTTCACTCCAAGAGTCACAGCACAGAATTTGCAGTCCTAGGAGGAGGAAGGGGATACTAAAGTTGCTTTAAATCACCCTTGTACCCTCCTGAACCTGGGCTGCTCCATGGACTAAAACTTCTGCCACTGCACCTTAAACAGCCTTTCCTGAGTCCTTTATGGACTGGCAGTATTGCAAGCTATGGCCCCAGTAATGTTGCCATCCATCTGGTGTTCACTTTGACAATCTGCAAATTGGGAGTCTTTGCCTAGAGTCTAGACTTTGGTTGGACAACTACCCAGACACCGCTAACCTAGAACTCTAGGGCAGCATGTCTGCAGTGAGGAAGGTAGTATGAGATCAGCAGGGCCCGGTGGGTCTCTGTGAATGTCTTCAGCAAAACTTGACAGCCCTAAGCCCCACACCATCCCCCAGCAAACGCCTCTTTTAGGAGGTGCAACTGTATCATCCTCAAATTCTGGCCTTTGTTATACCTCTGTGACAACTGCTTTCTATGGGGTTGTGGCAGTGTAACTGAGGAAACCATTTGAAGACAATGTGGTCACACAGGTGGCCCTCCATTTGGACTTAAATGAAAAACTCTGTTGATTATATGAGAACCTGATGAGAATCCATGTTCTTGTCTTAGAGTTGCATTGATTCTGCAGGTCTCACAGCTCTATTTTTGTCACCAAAGCAAGCAGTTATGACTTTGAGCATAACATCACCAGAAGGAAGTGTGCGCCAATTTTAAATAGTCCTTTTTCACAGAGTACTTGCCTTTTATCATTAGTGATTGGTGAATCACTACAAACTCACATATCAGTGGATGGGTCCCCACATCTCTAATATGATCCCCCTAATATTGTCACTTACTTATTTGAACCCCCATTTCTAGATTTGGTAAGATTTTTCTTTTCTTTAATTGTTCATAGAAAAGGACTATCAGTACAAATTGGTATCAACCATTGATTTTTTTAAAATTATTTCTTCTCTCCCATTTTATGACCAATTCTATTCTTTTCTCAAGGTCTTGCCTAGCTTCATTTTTCCCCCTTTTCTATGCACTATCCTGGGTACCTTTTGTGGTGCTGTTTTCCTTGGTTCTTATTTTTTTTCTCTCCCCACTAGGGAGGCAGCACTATCTTTTACAGGTGTCTTGAGTCTGCTGGCTGCACTGAATGCTGTGGGTGATGAAAGAGATGCACAGGCCAGTGGGCTGCTGTTTGTATCAGAAGCCCTCTCCATTTGAACTGCTCTTAGAGCTTGGTGCATTAGCTGACACGCGAAGAATAGAGCAGCTTTAACAAAACTTCTCACTTTTACCACTTGTTTATGCTAGAAACATGTTTACAGTAAGAGTTGGAGCCAAAATTAGCTTTTATCACTGTTACTACCTGGCTTTCTGGTTTTCCTTAGCAAGCCTAGGGCTCTACAGGGTGTGGGTGGGTGGGGGGGGGCCCATCCAGGTTTCATAAGATCATCAGGTATCTTATTTCATGATTCTTAGAACTCAATTCATCCTCAAAACTGTGTGAATTGCAGCTAATTGATTTCTATCCAGCTAAAGGAAGCCAAATTATTCAATATTATTATATTTTAAATGGTGAAATAGAGGAGAGGCAGGAGGAAACAAAGCCAACGCTAGAATTTGGACTCTGAACTTCTTGTTCTCTAATCATTTCTCTAAACTCTGCTTGGCCTTGAACTCTCGTATCTATCATCAACTGTTAATATGTCTATTATAGTATGCCCCAAGAACCATAATGAACTAAGCACTAAAAAACAGTAAAACAAACAAAAAAAGTTTTTTCCTTTGGCAAGGAACTGCACATAATAAATCTCAAGTGGTAAGGCTGCCTTTTAAGAGAACTATTTGAATGTATGTCAAAATCAAGCTAAAAATAGACATTGAAGTACAACCTTCATTATGGAGTTACTACAAGCTGCCTATACATGTGCTTGGTGTAGGGGAAGTGGTGTTTTAATTAGAGCAGTTCTTGGACAGCCACTTTAATTAAAATGGCCCACCGTCATGTGTATTAAGCCCCTGCACATTTCAAAATGGCTGTGGGACCATTCTAAAGCTCATTCAATATGAACATGAATGAGGACATCTCTAGGCACCTGTAGCACCTTCACAATGAAGCATCTTCTACGCTGCACATGAAAGCCTTGTCTTCTCAGAATTTTCCTGACCATTCCCTTAGAACGGGTACAATTTAACTTCTACTATCAGTTAGAGAAGTGTTAAGTGGAGGTATGGCTCTGATGTTTTGATCAGCTACGAAGACAGATGCAAGAGGTAGAGAAGCCTCTCAAAGAAGGACAAAAATTATGTATGATTAAAATATATATATTTAAGTCTTAGGCATTTGGTTGTGTTCATCAAGTTTATGTTTGCCATCAGGCTGCCGTAACATGTATGGGGGACCTGGAAAGCCTTACTTGGTTTTAGAACGAGGGCCAGCCCAGGTAGCTCAAAGCCTCCTTCAAATTATGCTGAAAATATGTTGGCCTGATCAAAGAGGGTGCACTCCTCTTTCTCATGAAGTAAATAGCATTTAATTCAGTGAGAATGAGGTCCTTACCAAAGTAGTTTAGGAGAGAAAATTATCTTTCTGTTATTTTAAAGTAACATATTAGTCAATCAGTCAACTTTATCAGAGAGCTTTGTTTTATAGCTTAGCACACTGAAACCACATGTCAAAAGGGGGTTGCCCACTACCTTCCCATTTTTTTACTGGAAGAGGGTAGGATTTGGCCTTTCATTCATAGGGTTAGATTTCCAGTAGGAAAACCTGTGGAAGCAGGCACTGAGAGGCTAGATTTGGTGCAGGTCAGATAGGCGTGCCCAGAGTTTTTGACAGGAGAGGAAAATGCTGCTTCTTCACCTAAAGCAACACCTGAGCTTTCTTCACTACCCTTTGTTGTGCGGGGTAGGGAGAAGTCTGGACAGTAGAATAGTGTGTTGTATGAGATGCTTCATGCTGGGGTCTTTTTGGAAGGCCTCCTGGTGCTTTCATAGGTTTACAAGAACTTGGATCAAACAATGATTTTTTTCCCTAAAGTGATGGGTTGGCTGGGACTCTCTCAGTTTTCAGCGGCTCATGATCTTATTTTTGCTTTTCTACTCATATTCTAGTACTGAACAGAATGGTAAACCAAACAAAAACCAAACCTTAAATTAAATGTAATCTTCTAGAACCAAGCAAAGACTACAGTGGCAAATTCCAATCGTGCTTATGGTAGTGAGAAGGTATGTTTGGGCTTGCTGTACCAACCTTTTAGTTGCATTATTTAAATTTTATTTTTCAGTAGCACCAATGTGTTAGATGTCTGCTACATAGAAAATAATGCATGGCTCTTTGCTTTAAGGACTAAGGCCTTGATCTTGAGAAGAGGGGTATATAGGTTGTAGCCGTGTTCCTTTAAGGACATAGGCAGACAAGGTTCTTTGGGTCAACTGCAGACGCTTCCTCAGTCTGATGAAGGGTATTTATACCCGAAAGCTTGCAAAGAAGATTTTTTCCAACTATTTGAGTTGGTCTAATAAAAGGTATCAGATCTACCCAAAGAACCTTGTCTGTCTTGATCCTGACAAGACTTTTATGTAAACATTTAACTTTAAGCAAGAGTCTAGTCAAGTAGCACCCTGATGGTATGTAAATCCTTGTAGCATTAGGACATAAACACAAAAAAAATCAGCAAGCATGATGTAAATTAAGCTGTCATTAAGAAACCTCTGTGGAAATATATCCGTATCCTTTGCAAGATATTCAGCTCTGATCTTGTGATTGTATCCCTGCAGCCAAGCAGATTTTTGCACTGAAGTCCTACTGAAGTCAGCAGACTTTTGTATACTTTCAGGATCCTATCCAGGCAAAGCAGTTGCACAGTCCAGGCCTAACTTTGCTGGTCTCTTGTCCTGCTTCAGATAAAAATGGAATACGTTGCTAAACTTAAGATCCTTCCTTCCTTCTTTCCTAAAACAAAGCTGGCTGCTAAACAGATTTAATATCATAGAACTGTAGAAAATTAGGGTGGAAAGGACTTCAGGAGGTCATCTACTTCAACTCCCTTCTTTGTTTCTATTGGATATTTCCATTTAGGAAACTTAACGTCATAATATAACATCATAATGAATTTAAATAGGTAAAAGTAAGCCTGTGTAATAATGTGGTTAAGGTGGAAGAGATGGGAAAGTCTGGCTTCCCTCAGGAAGCATAGCACAACCTTTTTGCCAATAGGTAGCATTTTTTGTTGAGGCAGAGATACTTACATAAGAGACAGATAGATATAGATCTTTCTCTGTCTATCTAACATCATTATTATGACATGAAGTTTCCTAAATGGAAATAGCTAATAGAAACAAAGCAATGGGTTGGATTTATATTCCCCACTGCTTTGTTACTAAATGGAAATATCTAATAGAAAACTTAATGTCTTAATACACACACATATACAGAAAAGTTAACATTGATGTATTTTATCAATGTTATATTGAGATTATATACACACACACATATGGATACAGAAAAGTTAACATTGATGTGTGTGTGTCTATATATGTGTGTATATATAATCTCAATATAACATTGATAACATATCAATGTTAACTTTCCTGTATCCACATGCCAAAGGACTTCATTGAGAAGCCCATCCCACCCCAGTTCATGCGTGTATGCCCCTTGTGCCTTTCATCCAAGCTGAATCAGGAGGGCGATGCCCCAATGCCAACGGAACAAACGGGGCCTAAAATGGCAGTGGCAAACCAGACACCCCGCCAGAGTCTGAGCCTGGGACCAACCGTGCGCCTTCTGCTTCTGCGGCGGGGCACAAAGGCTGGCTCTCCCGGGGCAGCTGCAGGCAGACAGAGCTCGGGGGCTGGCAGGAGAGGCGGTGCCCGGGGTGCTGGTGGCGGGGGTGTCCCGGCGGGGCGAGGAGGGCAGTGGGGGCACACCACCCGTAGCTGCAAGCACACAAAGCCGCCCCCACCGCGTCACAAGGGCTCGGAGCGCCCTTTGTTCGGGGAACAATGCGGGGCGGGCGCGGGCTTCTCCCGCGGGCAGCGCCCGGGCGCCGCCGCCGCCGCCGC